GCTGGGGGAGCTATCTTGTGGAGATGATGGGAGAATACATCTCTCTCTCTACCTGGTTTTGACATGGATGGTTTCATTATGCAGGCTCCTAAGGTCCTTGTTCACCCTTATGTAAGCTCATTAATATTACTAATTAATACTGCTGGCATATTACAGGTGTTGTGCGCCGCTCTATCACTCACCTCCTCAGCAAGGCAGGGAGGGGAGAAAGGAAGATGGAAAAAAACCAACCCCAAACTCGTGGGTCGAGATAAAAGCAGTTTAATGTAGCTAAAGCAAAAAGCTGTGTGCGGAAGCAAAGCAAAAAGCAAAGATTATTCTCTACTTCCCATCATCAGGCGATGTCCTGCCACTTCCTGGGAAGTAGGGCTTCAGTATGCATGCCCCTTACTCTGGAAGACAAACATTGTAAAAAAAACGACTGCCCCCCACCCTGTTCCTCCCCCTATTCTCAGTTTCTTATTGCTGAGCAGACGTCATATGGTATGGAATATCCCTTTGGTCAGTTTGGGTCAGCTGTCCTAGCTGTGTCCCCTCCCAAGATCTTGCCCCCCCCAGCCTGCTGCTGGGGAAAAAGAAATGTTGGAGGGACAGCCTTGATGTGTGCTGGCACTGCTCAGTAGTAGCCAAAACACTGGTGTGTTAATAACAGTTCGCTAGCTACCAATACACAGCACAGCACCATGAGGGCTGCTGTGGGGAGAATTAACTCCACCTCAGCCAGACCCAATACACACTGGTTTTATCAGGCTTGACAGAAGGAGTAAAAGGGTTTGTTTAAGAATGCCAGACCCTGTTTTTAAAGGGAGTATCTTGGTTATTTCTAGAACATGGAATCAGAAAACGCATGCTAACACATTAAATTACTGAGATAGAGTATATTATGAAAACTTTTGTAAGACATGCAGCAATTCAATATTGAAGTTGTAGGACAATATCTTCAGAGAAAAATCTCACCTTAAAAATCCTATAGCTTTTTGACCTGTCCTGTGTGATTGAGTAATTTCAAACTTGTTTAATTTGATTATAGATTTTTTTATTCCTGGCTTTTTGATTTCCAGTCCTGTGACAGCTGCTTCATAGTAAAAATATTCCAAAGTGCTGCCAAACAAGACAGTGATTTCTGGGGTGTAGTTTCAGACTGTGATTTTTATTTTCTAAATGTCAGGTTAGGTGAACTACTCTAAATCCTCCGGGAGCTGGTAAGTTGTTCCTTCGCAATACACACAATTCTGCTGCTAAGAGCTGTGGTGACTCTGTGAGAAACAGACTCCTAGTGCATCTTCAAATGGGATTTTGGTGGGATGGGATCTCCCAGCCCAAGAACTTTATGCTCCAGTGCTCTCTAAACCCCTTAGGCTGTAATCTGCCTAGAGGTCTCCAACTATTCTGCTTAAAGCAAAAGCTCTTAGTGTTTGTTCCCTGCCTAGCTGTATTCATCTTCTCATTTGTGAACCATGCATATAGTGACTTACATACTGACTTGCTTTAAAACCTATGCAACTTTAAAGCATTGGTCCATATAAATCGTGGTGCTTTCTATTAAAAATGTCAGGTTTTTCCTTGCAAAACTGCATGTTCCAAGACGCTGCCAGCTGGGGCTCCTTTGCAGTTTTGTTTTTATAACAGGCTTCTTTCAAGACTCATGATAAATATAGTAAGTGTTTTTATGGTTTTGACTGCAGATGCAAGATCACCAACCTGGGAGTATGACAGCCTTCACCCAAGGCTAAAGTTGTCTGATGACCGTCTTGTAGTAAGCTGTAATTGGAGGAGGATATTTTACCCCTGTGGTCCCCAGAGATTCGATAAATTATGGCAAGTGCTAAGCAGAGATGCATTCCTCTCTGGGAGTCATTACTGGGAAGTGGACCTGCTTCATGCTGGAGTAGGATGGTGGATTGGCATAGCCTACCCTTCCATTGGCAGGAAAGGAGACTCTGAAATGTGTCGACTGGGCTGGAATAGAGCATCGTGGTGCCTTAAGAAGTTTGGTTTTGAATGCTGGGCATTTCACAAAAGGGAGAGAATCCCTATCCAGCTAGAAGATGATCCTGATCGCATTGGCATTTTTCTGGATTATGAAGCAGGAATCCTTTCATTCTACAATGTTACTGATGGCATGGCTCATTTGCACACCTTCCGCTGCAAGTTCACAGAACCAGTTTACCCAGCCCTGAGGCTCTGGGAAGGCGCCATTGGAATATGCAAACTAACATAAGGAATGAAGCAAAATAAAACCTACTATGCTTTTCCTATGAAATTCACTTTGGCAATGAGCTACATGAATGAATCTCTGTTATATGAAAGTTGTAACTGTGATGCTTTCAGAAGGAAACAGTTAAGTTCAAGAAAACCAACTGTAATTTTTAATGTATATCCATTTTTCAGTCGGGGAAGGTGGTCTGGCTTTTATCAATGATGTTAATGTACGACCTAAAGTGCCATATATAGTATATACTTTTTTTCAACTTGAAAAGTGGAAAAAGTCTTGTTGAACGAAGCCCATTACAAATCAGATTTGAACCTGGATACTGCCATCTTTTTTATAAACTCTCTCCTCTCATATGCCTGGAGAGGCTGTAATTGTGTATGGTAGTAGGTTTAGTTTGGTTCAAGCTTCAAGTTCTTATATTGCGTAGTGTTATAGTTGACACGGTCAGATTTGGGTAATAAATGCACTAAATGAATTAGTTCATACTTAGGTATTGTCCCGGTTTCTGGCTAGGGTAATTTTCACAAGAAGTTGGGAGGGGACACAGCCAGGATAGCTGACTCAAACTAGCCAAAGGGGTACTCCATACCATATTACATGTGCACCATATAAAGGGGGCTGGCTGGGGAGGAGTGG